CAGACCCTCAACCCCTGGCTGCAAATTATCTCATGCCACAGATTATTTCTAGCATAGCACTGAGGAGCACTGCTCAGGTACCTGGGTACCCACCCTGCAGGACTGTGTGTGAAGGTGGGGGTGGCTTTGCACTTGCCCCCACAGAGTCCACTTGAGGCTCTCCTCTAGATGCTGATGGGGCCAGGCTCCCACTCCAGCCATCAGGAGAGAAGCACCAGGGTGGCTCCCCCAGAGAGGTGAGTAGGAATGCCTAGCCAACTGCTAGGGTCTCTGAGTAGACAGAGGGCCAGGGTCCCAAAGAACAGAAACAGAGATCTTGTTTATTTCCCAGGGAGGAGGTAGAACGGAGGCATGGGGATCTCTGCTCCAGAGATCTTACTTCCAGAAGAGAACATTCCAGAAAAGCAGCCAGCAGGGATACAGACCCAAGGCCAGTATTGGGAAGAGGAGGGCGCCATAGGTGTAGTGCTCCAGCACGCCCTGGGCCAGTGCTGTCAGGAAGAGTTGCCAGCCCTCTGCCAGAGACAGTGGTACCTCCTGCAGTTCTCGCCACAGGAACAGGCTACCAAGGAGTGTGACTGCTGGGCTTGTCACCACCAGCAGGGCAGCATAGAGTGGCCTGGGAGGAAGAGCAACATTTAAGTATGTATCATGGTGAATGCCAAGAACAGAATGAATGAGGGTTAGCTCTGATGTGTGGTAAAGGTTCTGGTGGAGAAGAAGTTGATCAGCACATACCGGGGTCCATGGGGCTTGGTGAGTGCAGCAGCGGGGACCATGGTGGCGGCCAGCAGGAAGCCCAAGGAGAAATTAGTGAGAGCGATGCAACCCAGCTGCAGGGCTAGGTAGATGAGGGCCACCAGCTTCAGTGCCATCCAGCCCCTGTCTGGGACCTGTGAGCTGACCACTCTACAAGGTGAGAAGTTCAAGGGTAGTCCAGAAGCCATCTAAGTATGGGACCTCCCTCTGTCTAGCCCAGCTGCTTACCGGTGGGTGTTGTGGGGAAGGGCTAGGCCAGCCACGTAAATTGCTAGCAGCGTCAACACGACAGCCTCCGCTTCAGCCACTGGAAAATGCTGAGCAGCTATATGTTGGCCCAGCACAGGTAGGACATAGAGGGCCAAACCCATGGCCTGAGAGATCAGTAGGGGTGCCATAAGTGAGGCCAGGCCCACGCCCTGCAGAGCACATGGGAACTTGGAGTTAGCCAAAAGCATAGGGGAGCCCCCCCAAGGACTTGTGGGAAGCCTCCAGCTGAGGCCATGTGGTAACAGAAAGCCGTGCTGGGGACTTCAGAAACCCACTGTCACAGCAATGGAGTAAAATATTACCTGTGGTGCCAAGGGTGGTGACCCAGGGCCAGGAGCCTTCCCAGCTTCCTCAGGGTTCCCTCCAGCCTCATGTAACTGCATCCATAGCTCCAGGGCATGGACCAAGTCAAGGACCCCAACAAGACATTGGATAGGATTTGCTAGATGGGAGATCACAGGCTCACTTCCCCACCCCCATAGCAGGATGAAGGACTATCCCCAGCTCACAGTTGAAGGGATTTGAGGCTGGCCACAAGTGAGTAGAGAGGATGAGGGTAGAGGATATCTTGAGTCCGAGGACCAGGAGCAAGAAGCCAGCGGCAGGCATGTAGAGGCCGATGGAGACGAAGCGGGAGAGGGCTGGCAGCAGGTAGAAGAAGAACGACTGGTGCAGGCGCTCCAAGAGGTGGTTGAGTTTGCGGAACATGCCCTCCAGAGCCCTGTGGAGCACAGCCAGGTCAGGACCAGCCATCTTCACCCCAGCTAGGCTCTGCCTTCAACATGGAGAGGGGTCCAGAGACTTACTTGCCCACTGCCACCAAATCATACTTGTATTGACGGAAGCTATTGATGCCACGCAGGGTCAGGGCCTCCACTCGGTACCTCAGGAAAAGGCCATGGGGGCCGTGGGGCCGGCCAGAGGCCTGCCGCAGAACCATGAGTAAGAGGGTCTGCAGACCCTGCAATGGCCCTTCGAGTGATGTCCAGTCCTGGGGCTGAAGCTTTGGAGGCATGGGCACAGGATCAGAGTCACCCCTTACCACAGGCCCCATGCTCCCAAGCAGGTGGTCCCACCTTGCCCTGGAGTGTACATAACAGCCCCCCTTTCTGGCAGAAGGTCTGGAAGAGGTTGAGCAGGTCAAGGTTGGGCAGCTGACCGTTGAGTCCCTCCACAGTCACATCAAGGCTGGTGACCACATCACTGCTCAGTTCCAGGGCCACAGCCGCCTGAATGGCTCCAGCCCTTCCCTGCAGGGGAGACGACTGTATGCCTGTAGGAGCAAGCAATGAGCACTAGAGGGGGCACTAGTGAGGATAGTTGGCACCGAGAGAGACCAGAGCGAGACTAGAGCAACCCTTACCTGTAACATTAATGTCATGATAAGCTTCAAGCCAAGCCTCAGTGCCCAGAAGATCATGCTCTGTTACCAGGAAGATTATGTCTTTGGCCCAGTAGATCTGCCCTAGAATCCAAAGGCAGGGTCAGCAGCGTCTGGGACATTGGTTAAACCCTCCCTGACCAGAGAGTCCCAGGGTCTCACCTCGGAAATGGGCAGCAAGTGCCAACAGTAGCCCCACAGCCTGGCTATTTGTAGAGTCTGGACCACAGGGCACAGTAAGTACCAGGGACTCGGTACTGGCAGCACGTGGGGCCCGCAGGATGCCATACACATTGGTACCTGACACCATCTGCATAAAGTGTTGGTGGGAAAGGCTCAGTATACCCAAAACAGAACATGTTTCCTGGCACCACAATGCTCACCACCAGAGGTTTTCAGACCATCCCTCCCACTGAGTTTCTTGGTTGCAGGGCACTTCAACAAGACACCCGACCCAGGCCACCCTTCTAAAGTGCTTTTCTCCCGAGCACACCCCTTTCCCTCAATACATAGCGCTCGTGGGTCTCATCCGGGAAGGGCAGTTTGCGGTAGAAGCTCTGAGTGTAGACCTCCAGCCCTACGGATCGCATCGATCGCTCCAGCCAGGCCACCGGCAGAGACCTGGAGACCCAAAGATAGCCTCTGAGCAGAGCTCCCTGGTCTCGGCTGCTCCTGAAGTTCCCAGCCCTCTACTAGGCACTCACCCCGACTTCCTACGGTGGGCAGCGAAATCCCGGGCAAAGTTACGGGCGCGGTCTCCACCTACAAACTGCTCCTCCACCATGGTGGAGCCCATGGCGTTCTCCGACATGTAAGTGCGCTGGGTTAGCGGCGGGAAAACCAGCGCCAAAAACCAGGCGATGCCAGCCACGTAGCTCAGCACGCTGAGAGAGAGCAGAGGGGCGCCGGAATTAGCCCGACCTGGGACGCCCGCTCGAGGCTCCCACCACTGCCCCAGGGGTCGACGGCACGGCCCAAGCCATTAAGACCCCGAGCCGCTGTAGCAGGGATGGATCGGGACCAGAGTTCAGAGCTCGGGGTCTGAGTGATGACTGCATAGAGGGGCTGGCCCCTGGAGTAGCCACCAGCGGACCCCCAACAGCTCAGGTTCCCACGAGTCCCGCCCCCTGGCCCGCCCTCACCAGAGCGGAGTGTTGAGGCGCAAGATGAAGCGGGCGATTGCGCGCCGGCGCACCGGGTCCGACAGGAGACCCATGGCGGGGCGGGGGCTCCGCTCTGGCCGCCACCGGAGACCTCCGAGCGCGCACGGTTCCCGTCAGACCCGGCGCCCCGTGCAGCCCTACTTCCGGTCCCAGGATCCGTCACGCCAGTACTCAGGGTAATAGAAACCGCTGGGAACCACGCTTTGCGCATGCCCAAACTGCAGAAGGCCGGACAGCTACAGGATGTGGTCACGGCACGGGGCGGAACTGGAACCTGGGGTTGTGGACCAGCTGGTGAGCAGCCTCTGGAAGGGCAGGACGCTGGCGGAGCTGAAGATAGAGCAGCAATAGTGTCTTATCTCAGGAGTCTGAGAAGACGCTGTGTAACGCAGGTGGGTGGAGAACTTGAGCGACGGAAAGATAACTCAAATGTGGATGACTGTGTTCTATGACAGAAGGGCCCCATGTGAACTGTCAGGCTTCGAACCAGTCCTATGGCTTGCTGGGCAATGGTGGCGCACTCCTTCAATCCCAGCACTCGGGGAAAAAGAGGCAGGGGGATCTCTGTGAGTTTGAGGCCAGCCTGGTGTACAGAGCGAGTTCCAGGACAGGCTCCAAAGCTACAGAGAAACCGTCTGGGGGGGGGAGGGGAGGACGACAGTGGGCTCACCTAAGTGGTGGGCCCAGAATCAAGGTCATCAAGGTCAGATAAGGGTACTGGAAAGATGGTATACTATCGCTGGCCACAGGGAAAGGAGTAGATTACAAATTGGAAAGCATATTGTTTTTGTCCAACCAAGAGGCACTGGCATGGTGGATGAGTTAGTGGTCAGAGGATGGAGGGGTGAAGGAAGGCAGTTTATCTAGAAGGGTGCAGAGGTAAGGGCCACAGCTAAGGACAGATGCCGAAGAGGCAGAAAGGGCTTGGTAACCTTTCAGAGTCCAAAGTAAGTGGCAGAAAAGGCCCAAGGAGATTCCTGAGGAAAGGAGACATCAGACCAGTGGTTCTCAGCCTTCCAAATGCTTCAACCCTTTAATACAGTTTCTCATGTTATGATGACCCCCAACCATAAAATTATTTTGTTGCTACTTCATAACCATAATTTTGCTAGTTATGATTTGTAATGTAGATATCTGATATGCAGGATATCTGCTATTTGACCACCAAAGGGGTTGAAACCGACATGTCAAAAACCGCTGCATTAGTCTAGCCTTCCGTCTCTATGATGGGCAACCACAGCCAGTTGCGGTCCACCTCAGCCTGGTGCTCAGATGCTAGATGGGCTGTGTGAACATACACATCCCTTAGCGGGAGGGCTTGGGCACTCTTGCTCGTCCTAGCATAGATGTTCTCTCCACTTAGGGACAGCAGTGCACACTCTGCTCTGCGGGCTCTGAGCTGTTCTGGTGCTGTACAGTAAGGTGCGTTCAGCAGAGGAACAGGCTTTTATTCTGGATGGGGTGGTTGGCATTCAGTCCCCCAGTAAGATAGAGGCCTCCTGCACATGCTGCCGGACTACACGATCCAGCAGAGTGTGCACGTCTCGGGCTGCCTGGGCTGCAGCCTCCAGCACTTGTTCCAGGTGGTCTTCATGTAGCCTCGAATCCATCTCAAGCAGTGCAATCTGGCCCGAGGCTGGCAGTAGGGCCAGGGCTAGCTGGGGCCCTCCAGCTGCTTCCTCCACGTGGCTGAGGTCCGCTAGGGCTGTGCCATCAACAAAGCCAGCTGAACAGGCACATACAAAGTCCCTCATGGGTATCCCAGCATCCATCACTGCCAGCGTAGCTGCATTCACGCATGCTGCATAGGTTCCACCATCTGCCTGCAGCACCTACAGGGGCATCAGAACCTTAGACCCACATCTCAACCCACCTCATACCTGAGTCCCACCCTTGGGGCAGGGGAGTTGAGGCTGCAGGTAACTCACCTGCACATAGATGTCAATCTGAGAACGTGGGTGGAGCTGTGTGAGGATGGCTGCCTCAAAGGTCTGGCGTAATTGCAGCCCCATCTCACATGACTTCCGGTCCCCATGAGGCCTTCGCTTGCGCTCACCTGTGCTGAAGGTTGCTGAACTATACTGACAGTTCACTAGGGCCCGATCAGGCAAGGCTCGAGACCGGGAGCCCCGGATCTGGAGGAGAAAAGAACGTATGAGCCAGGCCTACCTCCTGGGTCACACTCAATCCACTCTGAATGACTCAACCTTCCTGCTTCTCTTCCTCTAGCAGCTGCTACTTTGCTTCCACATCCTAGTCGGAGGGAGATTTTCAGCCTAAGCCATATACCGCCTTTGGCAGGCAGGCAATTCTTTGTTCTACAGTTGCTCCATTTCAATCCCATTCCTATTATGGCCACCGCATTTACAAACATCTGATCCGTGTCACCTACCAACTAACATTTTACTTACCTTCCAGAGGCTCTCCATTACATGTAAAAAAAAATCTCAGTGTCCCTGGGTCCTCACCCCTTTGGTAACCTCTCAACTTTATTTGATCTGTTGTCCCCCTCCCTATCAATCGTCGGCCCCGATGTGTTATATACCTGACCGTCATCCTGGCTTCCGCCTAGAATGAGTTTTCATATGCTAATCAAACTGTAAGATGTGCATGTTTTGCTGGTCTGATACAGAACTGAGACAGCAATAAAGGCAGACAATTTCATCGAAAGTCCCTGTCTTGGGAGTTTATGTTCCAGTAGAGAAACAGGCAACGCTGAAGACTCAGTAAAAACGATGTAATAAGTAAGTTCAGAAAGGCAAGGAAGAGTGTTGTAGGGGCCTGGGAGTTTTCTTCCCGCCAAGACGTCAGAATAGTAATTGAGCTGAGAAAAGAGGGAGTGAGTGGAGCTTCTCTAGGCGGCTGAGGCACCTCGGAGATGATGAGGATCCATTGCGGAGAGGAGTTAAACCATAAGGTTTAGGTCTACTCTCGCGACGTGCAGCCCCGAGCCCCGCGCCCGGCCGCTTACTCGCCTCGTGAGGCCCGTAGACTACCGCCAACGCCTTGGTGTTGCCCTGCTCGATGTAAGCCGAGCCGTCAGCCTGCGCAAACACACCCATACGCGCTTGGATCTTACGCAGCTCCCCCGCGCGCCGACCGTCTATCCGGTAGCCCTGATCGGAGAGCAGCTCCAGCCCGGCCATGTTGTACGCTCCTCCCTCCGCCTCCGCAAGCACAACGCTAGCGACTCGGGCCTCTAGCACCTGCGGCTTCCGGCGGTCCGTTACTTTTTCGGGCTCGGTGAACAACTTCCGTTGAACTCCTCCCCTTCCGGTTCGATACAGCTACGGATCGCGGCACCGTCGACTTTCCGGACGTCATGTTAGGTCGTTCTGGCCCTGGAAACTGAAGGCCGGAGCCGAGCCGGGTTTTTGCAGCTCTTCCGGGGTTGGCGAAGGGGAAAGGTCCTGAAGACGGGCTTCTCTTCCCGGACATCTTTGGATTGTGGGAGGCTCTCATCCCATCAGAAACAGTTTTTGGCCTTTCTTCTTTTAGTTTTTAATTGCATATCTTTATTTTTATTGTATGAATGTTTTACTTGCATTTATGTCTATTCTTCACGTATGTGCCTCATCCTGTGGAGGTCAGAAGGCATTAGGTTCCCTAGAAGAAGAGTTACAGGCAGTTGTGAGCCACTGTATGAGTGCTGGGAATCGAACCTGTGTCCTTTGCATTTTTTGGCTTTTCAACCGTGTAGTTTTTTTTTTTTTTAACAGTGGTCAGTTTAAGCACTTTTTTTGAGGTGGTTCCCCCCTCCCCCCATGGATTTCTCTCCAGGCTGTTCTGGAACTCACTCTGTAGATAGACCAGACTGCCTTCAAATTTACAGAGATCTGCCTGCCTCTGCCTTCCCAGTCTGGGATTAAAGGTGTGAGCCACCACCACCTGGCCAAGCATAATTTTTTGTTATACACGTCATTGTTTTCTTTGTGGAGCCGTTTTTAGTTTTCAGTTTTTTTTTTATTTGCTTAATTAAATCAATAACTTTCCCTCCCTTAACGTGGCCAGCAAGTTTTCTCCATCTCATGACTGCAAGCACAAAACGCCCGCAATTGAATGTGCAGCTGTATAGCAGCATCAGCTTCTGGAGTTCTAATTATTTTTTTTCTTTTTTTTTATAGTCTTCTAATTATTTTTTAAGATAGGATTGTCTAATATTCACTTTCTTTGGAGTGTTTTTACTCAGAGAATAAGAAACCCAAATAGTCCTGAGATTTTGTTGCTTTTTGGACTGTTGATATAAATCTCAGATTGTTTTGTTGTTATAATTGTTGCTTTTTTTGAGCTTTTATGTATTTCGGTTGGCCTTGAACTGATAAGTCCTCCTACCAGAGCCTTCCTGGTGCTGTGATTATAGTTCCTACCACAACATCCAGCTTGGAGTTAATGTTTTTGTTGTCTGTTTCATACTCATGGGGTAGATAGAGCAGATTATATCCCCACCACATCCTCTTACACTGCCTGATGTGTCCCCGGGGCTTATAATTAAGGGATGCTTTCCTAGTGAGGGGCTCATGAGTCTGGATTCTCAGTACGTTATCTTCTTTTCTCACCCAGAGTAAATAATTTGGTGGTGGTTGTTTGTGGTGTGTGTGTTTTAAGATGATGTCTTGCTGTACCCCCAACTGGCTTAGAACCCAGAGATCCCGCTGCCTCTGTGTGCTTAGTGCTCCACCACACCTGGCAATTAAAGAAAAATTCTTAGTTATTTGTGTTCATGCTTGCACGTAGAGGTGAGAAGAGAACTTTGTGGAGTCAACTTTTTTCTTTCACCATTATATGGGTTCTGAAGATTGAACTTAGGTTGTCAGACTTTTTAGAGTGTCTTTATCCAAAGATTTATCTCCGTGTACAGTATATCTGGTGCCCTGAAGGGAAAGAACATTCAGTTCTCAAGGGTTAGAGTTAGAACATCACACTAAAGGTGGCGAAAGCCTTTAGTCCCAGCACTTGGGAGGCAAAAGCAGGCAGGTTTTTGTGAGTTTGAGGCCAGCCTGGTCTACAGAATGGGTTTTAGGACAGCCAGGGCTACACAGAAAAACCCTCTCTCAAATAAAATAAAATAAAACCCAGCAGGACCCATATGGTGGAGAGGGAACTACTTACAGAGGCTGTCATCTGATGACCTCATGCCCACACTGTAGCAGGCACAGTCACTGCTCCTCCCCCAGATAATGAAATGTAAAAACCAAGTCTAGCAATAACTCAAAGTTGTCTTATGTTTGGGAATGGGAGGGAAAGAACTCTTGAGAGTTGCAGGGCTGTAGCAGCTTTTTATCAACTCTCTGTGTCAGTCCAGTCCAATAGAAAGGATGCTGTGTCTACAGGAAGGAAAAGAGAGAGCCTCTCCACCCCGTCCCGCCCCCATCCAGCACCTCTCCTCATGGTATCTGTTTCAGAGTGGTCATGATCATTAGCAAGGAGCTCACCCTTTTCACCTGCAGCTCCCCATCACACAGCCCCCGTTAGTGCATAAAGAAATGCATGTCATTACCCAACGTTAAAAATTAAAGCAGTGAGCTGAGTATATATAGTAGTGTGAAGAAAGGATGGTTGGGTCCCAAAGATGAACTTTCCAAGACACACAAACCAGTGTGGGGGACTTGGATCCCACATCTCAATGAGAGGACTGTCAACGTTTTCCTACAAGACAGCAGGTAGACTGGATCTACTGTGTCAGGCTGGAGAAATAGTCTACCACAGGGACCCTAATACTAACAGTTCCAATAACCCCATCACAATGGTTGTGCTTTCGTGATGGCTGGGCATCAGTTATAGGAGTCAGTCCCTGTTGATGCAGCTTGGCAGAGCCATCTTCAGCCTTGATCCTCAGCAGCTGGTCTAAGCCACTCCCTTGTCCAATAGCCCAGGTCTTCCTACCTGGGTGGCCCTAGCACCTGCTGTCCCTGTTGGGTTGGGGTTGTTTTTCATGTGTACTGCTGGTCCTTACCAGAGATGGCTATACTGAATTGCCTCAGCAAGTCCAAAGGCCTACCCCACTGGGTGGTGCCAGCCTCAGCAACTTGGAACAGCCAGAATGATGCTGGTCTTCAGCCAAAGGAGTCCAAGAGGAGGTTGGTGGCTGCTGCTGCTTCCAGCTCCAGAGTCCTCACCATGCCTCCTAGTAAGAGTGTCCTTCCACCCCTTAGGAACAAGGACCTCAACCTGGCCTCATCAGGTTCAGGGTCTGAGGCCCCTCCCCTCCCCGTCTCTGGCTTTGACCCATACTCTAACTGCAGAACATACACCTGGGTAGATCTAGGATTCAGGGACTTTATCAAGTTTCTTGTTGCTATAATCTAATGCCTGACAAAAAGCAGATTTGGGAGGAGGCTTTACCTTGACTCAGTTTGAGAGGATGATGTCCATCATGGCAGGAAGGTGTAGAGGAGTTCATGTGGCAGGAGCAGGTGGCCAAAGAGCAGAGAAACAAAATTGCCAGTACTCATTTGGCTTCTTCCTTTTTTCTCTTTCTGTTTGGGGCCCCAGCCCATGGGAAGGGCACCCATTTCAGGGTGACTCTTCCCTTTTCAGTAATTCTGTCTGGAAGTGCTCGTCAGAAACATTCCTGAAAGTGTGCTTCTGCTGATTACTTTGATTTTTTTAAAAAAGCTTTTTTTAAAAAAAAATATTTCTCTCTCTTTCTCTCTCTCTCTCTCTCTCTCTCTCTCTCTCTCTCTCTCTGTGTGTGTGTGTGTGTATGCATGTCCTGATGTCTTCAGAGTGCCTACAAAGGCCAGAAGAGGATATTGGGTCCCCTGGAGCTGGAGTTACAGACAGTTGTGGCCACCAAACATGGGTGCTGGAAACTGAACTCTGGTCATCTGCAAGAGCAGCCAGTTCTTTTAACTCTCTAGGCCCCGGTCTAGGTTTTTCTTAATCTAACCAAGTTGACGATCAAAATTAACCATGGGTCCTAACACTTATACAAATTTGAGGGCTGTGTTAAGGATGCAGTTTGCTGGGAGGTCTTAGAACTCAGAAGATAACTGTACTCCTCCTGGCTGAGGGCACTTAGATTGAAATCACAGCCAGCAACGGGGAGAAATTCATGGAGTCTTAAAGAATCTAGGTGCGCGCTTCCAGCGTCCTCTTGGATGGACTCATGCTGACACTTCATTCCCCCAACAAGCTGGGGCAGCACGTGTTGAGATGCTTTCTGCTGGGGAGGTCCATAGAGACTCAGCTGCACGGGCATGCTCTGCTGGGCAGGCACCCAGATTCCCGACTCCCAGACAGAAAGCTGCTGTTCCGCAGGAGCTGTACAAACAGTTGAGTCACAGCAAGCCACTCTTACCAGGAAGTGGTGGGCATCTCACCAAAACTGCGTGCCCAGACACCAGCAGCCTTTCACATCCTGATGAGTTTTCTCAGGCCTGCTATGTGGACTCTTTTTTTTTCAAACAAACAAACAAAAAAGCCAGACCCTCTGAGATTAGGGAGAATTGAGAGTTGTAGATCCAGAATTAAGCAAATAAAATCCAACATGCAGTAAAAAAAGTTTAAAGTTGACTGGGCCTGGAGAGATGACTCAGCGGTTAAGAGCACCAGCTGCTCTTTCAGAGGACCTGGGTTCAGTTCCCAGCACTCACAGGGCAGCTCACAACTGTCTGTGACTTCAGTTCCAGGGGCTCTAACACTCTCAGACAGACATACATGCAGACAGAACAGCAATGCACATAAAATAAATAAAAATAATTAAACACTTAAGGTTGACAAATATATTCTAAAATAAAACAAAAACCAATGCTGCTTAACTGCCTAATGTACCACATTCCCCTGCCCTTTTTAAATGTATATGCTGACAGCCTCTGAAGACAATACTTTTGTGATTTCACCTTCTACATAGAGAAAGTAACTTAATTTTCCTTCTAAAACATTTGATCATTATCTGTTGGTGTTTTGAGACAGGATTTCATATAACCCGTGGTGGCCTCAAACTTGCTCTATAGCTGAGGTGACCCTAATATTTAATCTTTCTTTTTAGTATAGTTTCATACAGTTATACAATGAATTATGATCATACATCCCCAATATCCAGTTACTTCCCTCCACTCTTGCTAACTCCCTCCCTCCCAGCCTGAGACTGCTTCCTTACAGAGACTACCTCCTGGGATTAACTCACCTGCTTCTTCATTCAGTCTCATGTAATAAACACCTGGAGTTTCTGGGCTGCTGGTTCACCTCTTGTCAGAGTGCATGTCCTACCCGATCCCAGCTTTTCTATATGTGTAGCTGTAGTGTCGGGGTCCAGCCAAACGTAAATTATTTCTCGAACCAAAGTGGAGATGTGGGAATAATTGAGGCACAGTTCACACGGCAGTTATCGGAAGGGAGTCTCAGGGTTCATTCAAATCCTGACGATCACCCGTGTTTATTATCCAAACAGCATTTATATCAAGAGGTAAACT